GTCTAGCTGGTTTAACATAATATTTGAGTTTTAATCATGTATTGGTAAAATTAATACTCATTCGCCGGCGACAGACTGGTGTCATTTTGACCCTGATAAGTACGTGCCACTTTACCTTTTAGGGTCGTACGGTAGTGTTCAGCGGATAGAGAACTCGTTACAAGAGGGTACTGTCGCAGTCGATTATTGTATTGAGAAGTGTAGTATATCTAGTTCTATTTGGGATGACGATCCCATCTATATGTGTGACATAAACGTGTTCAATGCACCTGACATGTACACAATTCCAGTGACCTACACTAAACTGCGACTTGCAATTTTCTGTATTGATTTGCGAAAGTAATTCAAATAAAGCGAAAACTCGGTTGTCTATAAAACCCAGAATATTGCGTACATTTAAAGAAATACACGTCTTTGCATTATGTTTATGGTATAGGTTGTTAAACAGCATACCCACCTAACCCACCTATCCCTTTATGCTATTGCCAGAACCCGCTGAATTACATTTATATAAACTTAAAGTTGAGTTTCACCAAACATATTTTTAAATTGTAATTAATTTGCATTTCTATTGTAATTTATATGAGGTTAATTAAATTCTAATTAAATCGCAACTCCATATAGGATTGCAATGAAATTTAAAATCGTAAATGACATGTTGCAAATGGCTGATCAATTCCTAACTGCTTGAATGTACAAAATTAACATAAAAAAACGCATGATAGTTTATCACTACGCGAATTGGGTGAAATTATCTGATACGCTAACCAAGTATTTGCGCTAACCCAGTATGTTTCTTTAAGAATTCAGGCATGTCGATAAATATAAGTTTGAACTACAATAACTCGCTTGACTGGACTGTCATTAAAATAACAAAAGAAGGTCGCCGGTGACAATGGGAGTGGGAGTGGGCGAGACGACTGAAATGTGCATCTCGTACTGCGAGTCGGGTCCTAAAATACAAGATGGCGACATCCTTCATGTTAGCGGCGAAGCTGGTCGTGTTGCTCCAACTACTTCTGTTTTCACGGTCCTTGAAGACTGGACCGAACATGCGAGATACGCCGCCGTCTATTTGTCAGCTACGGCGTCCCACAGATGATTATTTGAATCATAAAATCGCTGAATGGGAGAAGGCGAGTGGTGTTGAAATCTGGGTTGAGAATGTAAGAGGGGGTAACGTTGCTCTAACAGGTGAGTTTTTATTCTTTGTCCGCATCGCATAGATCACAATAGCATCCGTAATCATTTTAGTGTGTTGTACTAATAATAGTG